TAGTTGCAAAACGATTTGGACACAGTGAAGTTGGGATTTCGTCAAACTATTAAAATTCAGAGTCATTATCGCGATGGGCAGTGTATGATTAATAACATAATTACTGCGCAAACTGTTTTGGTAAGCTCCCAGCTTTATCGTGTCTGCAATCGTCGTTCTGCAATCGATTCAATATCACAAGAACACACTTATTCTAATCGACTGAAAGATTCGCCAGGATCCACTTCAAGCTTGAGCAAAACACGTACTCTTGCGACTTCGAGTGACGATATATTTTCCCTGTCGTTTCGTGCGAAATTACTGCCACTTGTTCTGAGTGAGATATTCCACTTGAAGCAATCCGAGAGAAATTATTCAATGAAAAATTATCAGATGGACATTTTCGATCGAAATTCGATCAAACGCCGATAAATTTCTATATCCGACCGGGAAATACCCAATGAGAAGTATCGATTCTGAGTGTCTCCGTCGGTTTATCTAATGAAATGCCATTACGATCGGGATCTGATCGGAGATATCGACTTGATAATTTCCCATCGGATAATTTCTCACTCACAGTGTAGGAAGCAAATAAACGAGATGTTCGCTCGCGACACACATACACGTTTCGTTACATCGCTTAATCATCCCCGGCGCGACTTGACAATCTTTTGAACGCGGCCAATCGCGTCTCACGCGCAAATTATCGAGATATCGCGACGTCGATACGGCGCACGCGGTCGCGTTCGCCGCAAAATGCGTTTTCGCAATTCGTCGGCTATCGCGGCCGACCGATCCGAAAATAAATCGGCGGCCGGTGGCCTTTCCGCCCAAGTAACAACAATCCCTCGCGTCTTTCGGGCCCGCGAATAATAACGTCGCCGCGCGGTCGCATTACTTACTTGCTTAGCGTGCGACGCTCCGCGCGGCCGACGAGCGGTTTGTCAGTGCACGAACGCGCGTGTATATCTCGCGGACGGTGAAAAGCGCCCGTGTCACATCGGCATGTGACCCGCCGTGTTAAATTTGGAAGGCGCACTTGGGACGCCGTCGCTTAGCTCGGCCGACGTGCGGCACGCAAACCGATTGTCGCACCTTTCAAATGTCAGGCGAGAAACCACGTCGCTAGCCGACTCGATATTTATCCCATTGGCCTGATCAATCAGTCGTATGTTTGGCTCAGGTCAAGTTACCATGTAATGCAGCGAGGCAATCAGGACCTTATCAGTGTGATAAGGATCATTAATAATTCATATACTATCCGATGCTATCACTTTTTATACACACGGGAAATAAAGTCAGTCGCGGCAGCAGGAATTTTTATGCAGCAGTTGAATCTATTTGCTACGTTCCAGATAGACTTTCGTGATTGTCACGACGTGAAACGTCGTGAGCACGTATTCACGACGCAGGCAATCGATATGATGGAAACTGTACAATTTTTTTTCATTACATTCATGAGGAAAATATATTGCACTCAATCGTTACGTTTACATTACGCAATGATGTAAGTTTTTCGTCACACTGATGCAGCTGTATAAATTCACTCAAAATTCCACCCAGATTTTCGTATCACACTTTGCATGACGTATTGTCTCGAGTAAATTTCGATCATTCCTCTCGTGTTTCCTCGTGATTTTACCTCGTTACACACGTAAACCATTCATAACAGATGCAACCTTTACGAGTCGACTAGTGAAGTTGCCGACAAATTTGCGTACATCTGTCTATCTGGGATATAGATACCTAAGGTAGAGCTGCCAGGTAGGCATATATTTAGCTGCGAACACCGATGTAGCCAAAATTTCAATTACAGTAGCAAATTTGCAGTCACACAGAGAAAATATCGTAGCAAGAATTGCAACCGAACAATCTGGGATTATGCATAATTACGGTAAACGAAACGTATTTGTTTAAAAGAATGTTATGCACGTTTGATTTTTAACTAGAAGACTATTACTTGAATGTTTTTTATATCTTAGATCGTGTTTTCATAGTTATTCATTTATACAGTTTCACGGTATAGTCCAAATCGACAGAAACATTGGAGAAAGAAGTATAATTTTAACGCAATTTTTACTACGACGCTTTTCTCGTATACAGCAGTAAGGGCAACAGATTTTCAGCGAAGCATTTATTAACTGAGACAACGAGATTTTGTTTTTCCGTGTGCAAGGCGGGAAACTGATTGGGATCGACTTGATTAGGACCGTGGGGTAAATTTTTAACGCGTGCACCAACCGCGACCTTCAAATCGGATTCTTCGTTTCCACAGCAGCAGCGGCGGCGGCGGCTGATATCGACCGTGACTTCGCGAATCGATAGTATTTTCCGACGAAATTTTCCATCGCGCGAGAGAGAGGGTGCTGCAACTTCGGGAGCGCAATTGGAACGGATCGGCACGTCCTGCATATTTAATATCACGTTGGCAGCTTTGCGCTGCCCGCCTCCAATGACTCGATAATTATTCGTTACTAATCATTTGTTGGCCCGATAAATAGAGAATGAGCCGCGCTTGTGCTCGGAGAGAGTGCAGCTCGCGATTGGAGTTAATAAGGGATGAGCGACAGAGCGCGCGGGGTCCAGGGGCGACGGCGCACCTGAAATAGTTGCTAGCTAAATATAGGAATAAGAGAATCGTAACGTTACAGTTCGCGTGTGTTATTCGACGCCACCTCGACGGGACGGAATGCTGCATGATTTAATGTTCCCTTTATGTGTCGCGCGTTTCGAAATTCCGTCGCGAACTTTAAGGGGAGTCGCGCTCCTGCCCGTGTATATGTGTGCGTGTGTGCGCACTATGAAGATACTCCGAAAGCGGCGAACCGAAATGTTGGAGCGGAAATGTGATTTACGAGACGAGAGCGATTTATTGCTTTTCGTTCAGAGGTTGCATAATATCGCGTCAGCCAATTGGAAGATAGAAGTCGCTCATTCTCGGTTTTCGTGCGTGGCGCTGGCCGTCGAGCTTTCGCGCAAGCGGAAGGCACACTTTGACTTCTCTCTTCTATTTTCTTCTTGCGTCCTTTACGATCCTAGACCATTCTTCTCGGAGCGACACACACCTACACACGCGTACATACGAGAGAAGCGAACAGGAAGGAGCTCGTCGAATAAAACGATGCGGCACTGAATTACGTGCTTCAGGATAAGTATACCACGTGTCTACCGCAATTATCTCTTGTCGTTCTTCGCTTTCCACTTCGGAAAGGAAAGGGAAAGAGGCACGCCTCTCGCACCTAACTGATAGAGCAATGCTAAAACATTAGAATAGAATGCGTGACTAACATCGTTGTTTTGCTAATGTTCATGCACGTAATAATGGACTCGACCAGGTAGCCAGACTCAGACGTAACGATCTCGATCGTTGTGTTCCATTAATTAAATTGTGGATAATTGAATTGCGTTGCCACCGCCGCCGCCGCCGCCGCCGCCGCCGCCGCCGCCACCAGCCGTGAAGGTGCAATTTCGTTCAGGTGTATTTTCAACGAGCGAGCTCCTCGTTCAGCCGTGAAATGTCATGTCGCGAGTGAGTTGTCCTCGATCTATATTTCTACGTTTTACCGTCTTCCGCGATCTATTACGCTGCCATGTCGATCTACTGCGAAGCAATTCGCGCGATAATAGAGATAATAAACAACGCATCGATTTGCGATTAGTCTCCGCGAGAAAACGTGTCGCCGCCACGCACACGCTAACACTCTCTCTTTCTTTTGCTACGATGTTGTAATTTGTAATGTTTGCGGACATCTTGTTCCATCGAACAGGAATCTGTTTGTCACGTGTTTTTATTCAATATTCCTGGCCCCGTCCTCCGTCGCAAACGTCATTTATCGTGAACGTGGCACTTCGCAAAGTGACGCGAGAAGATTTTGCAAATTCAATCTCCATGCGCCGAAGGGTTCCTTTCTCTCGCTCTCTCTCTCTTCCCTTCCCTCTCCCTCTTTCTCTCTCACACACTCTCTTGTCCGCAGAGACCTCCTTATCGTTCTAGAAAAGAATGCACCTGCGTAGGACGTCTGTGCGCGTACAGTAGGTGCGGACGCGGTATCGCGGAGTGGAAGTGCATTAGGTAGATGGAACACATAATTGGACCCGACGTGCGCATGCATCCATCCGCACTTCTTCTTTTGTTCTTTTCCTGCTCTCTCTCTCTCTCTCTCTCTCTCTCTCTCTCTCTCTCTCTCTTATTCTTTCGTTGTTCATTCCCTATTTTCTCCCTTTTTCCCTCTTCCACTTTCTCTTCCTTTTCATCTTCTCCTACTGTTTCTTTTTCTCTATATTTTTTTATTCTTCCTCCCTTTTTCAGTTCCACTTTCTCTTCGCCTCTCCGCCGTCCTCCCGTCTCTTCGGTCTCTCCTCTCGCGACGCCCTTCGTCATCAAACCTGCTTACCTGAGCGTCAGATGAAAGCGCACCGTGTCTCGCGCGACACGTCCCCCGCCGCTCGACCCATCGACGCTTTCGCACACGAACGCAGAATCGCATCCGCGCTTGTGTAGGAACACCGCATCGACCGATGATAACTTCTATGGCACCTTTTGGGCTCGGATAATGTTGCAATCGATCCCGACTTTCGTGAACGACATCACGATAGCTTTCCTTGGCCTCAACGCCCCGTGAGAGATCCGTTCGTTCGGTGCTAAAACACCGAGGTCGAATCACGCCAATAAGCGGAGGCTGATCAATTCGCGATCGCCGACGGCGCCGTGTTGTTGCTCCACGTTACAATAATTATCGGTCAGACTTTATTGCCAGTTAGCTTCGACCCAAGTCGATCGACAGCACTTCCCACGGACTACCTGCTACCTGCTGCACAATCGACGTGTATGGTTGCGCGTGTATGTGTGTGTATGTGTGGCGCGCGTGTGTGTATATATATATGTGTGTGTGTGTGTGTGTGTACGAAAGTGCGCTCGTATGTGTGTGCGGGTGTGCCCGCGTCCACGTGCGTATGTGCGAGATGTGTAAGCGCAAACGGAGCAAAGCCACGTTAAGCTGGTTGCGATTGGTGTGTTGCAGACACGAGGTGCCTGTCACCTCGGAGCCGATCACGGTGATACACATGGACGAGGACGTCGTCGTGGTCAACAAGCCCGCCTCCATCCCTGTAAGTGGTGTACTGCCAGAACTGTACTGCCAAAAACAAAACAAAAGGAGAAAAACAAAATGTTTGCCGTACTGTCTCACCGAAATACATGCATGCGTGCACATCAGGTGCAAAAGTACCAATTCCTCAACACAAACTTAATCCCAGACATTCTTATCTTGTGCTGATCTTTAAATTCGAAAATATTTTGACCGTCAACATAACACATATACATACATATATATATACATATGTTTTGTGTTGCAAGTCTGAATATTTGTATTTAAATACCGAAACAATAAGAATGTCGAAAATTAAATACGTGTCTGGGCATCGGTGCTTTTACTTCGATTGATAAAAGCATCTAGTTCCCGGATACTTATTCAATCCTGTTCATTCTTATTGTTTTGGTCTTTAAATATGACTGTTTAAACTTTCGAAACATAAAATATACACATACGCATATTTTGAACACTTATTTTATGTTGAAAGTTTAATTATACATATTTAAAGACTAAGACAAAACAGTAATGTCCATGATTAGATACGCGTCGGGGCATTGGTACTTTTACCTTGTCACACGGACATATATTCACATCATTCTCGCATGACCGATACCTTCCCGATGCACGGGACGATCAAACCGCTTCATGTTCTCAAAGTGCGACGGAGCATACTCGCCGTCGCACAGTACCAAAAGCTATTCTTACGTGCTAACCGCTTTTACTAAAACTCATTCTTAGAACACGCTCCTAAAGTTAGAGCCCATTACTGTCGAATTTAGAGTCCCTGAGGACCTGTTTTTTCCTCTTTTTCCTCTCTCTCTCTCTCTCTCTCTCTCTCTCTCTCTTTCTCCCTTCCCCGTCCTTCTAATGAAGTTCCACCATCGTTTTATCTAAATATACACCCGAGTGTTTCCCTGGAATTAATCCGCCGCGCCGACTGCACACCGAACTGCGCGGACTTTAGCTTCTTTCCTACGTCGGCTTTCTAAATCCGCTGGTCTGTGCTTCTTGGACGCGCGTATGCGACGAACGTGGCTAAATCGTCGCTAACGAGTTGTTTTTTTTTCTTTTTAAAACGAACGGCGACTAACGGAATGGAACAGCGCAGTTAACGGATGCGCGCCCCGAATGTCAAGAGCTTTAACGAGTTCGCCTTTTTAAAATGCAACGTTTCGGCTCCCGTCGACCTAGGTTTCTCTCTTGACATTTCTGGATTCGGTGGGGGCGCGACAATGAATAGGGAAAAAGAGATGGAAAAGAGAGGGAAAGTAAAGAAAGAAAAGGAAAAGAGAGAGAGAGAGAAAGAGAGAAAAGAAAATTTGCGCCCATATTCGCGTAAACGTTTCGAAGTCGCGAAACGGCGCGACGTCCAACGGCGAGCGCGGGCGCGCGAACAAAACTCACCATTAAAATGTTAATCGTGCGCGTTACGCCGCTCGCAAATCACGGACAATTTATTCCGCGCTATTACTGCCGTCCGCGATAATGTCGGGTCCCGCGGACGCTATGGAAACGCGCAAAAGGACGAGAATACCGTTTCGCGGCACGAGCTAATGCAATCCCGCGCGAGTCCGACACGTTGGACTCCACGTATCGGTGATTCACTGGCGCAACTAACGGTTAAGGGGCTTTTCAGTAGGAGGAAACTCTCTTTCTCCTTCTCCCTTTCCCCTTTTCCCACTTTTCTTCATTTCAACGGCATCAATCTTAATTATTTCGTTCCACGGTGATCTAAAATGCGCAATAGTATACACATGTTGAAGAGATAAAGCGCGCGTCTTCGGAAAACAAGAAGCAGATAAGTCCGCGAGATTGATGTTCCCATTTTCTTTCTCTTTTCTCTCTCTCTCTCTCTCTCTCTCTCTCTCTCTCTCTCTCTTTCTCTTGTCTCCTTATCTCGCTTTCCCAATTTCCTTTCTCCTTTCGTTTCTGACCTTCTGACAGTCGTTCGGTTACATCGCGACAGCGACTCCGAAAAATCTTTCATTCTCCTGCGCCCGCTGGAAGGTAATAAAGCGGAACGATACGGGATCTTTCGCGTCGCGCCATTTATACGACGAGAGAGCCTGGCCTGCAAACACGGCGTGTATCGCTTGGCGAGGAGCCGGCCACTTTTCCTCTCAAATGTCATCGAATGCACGCCGCGTCGGCGGCCGTCCCCATCCCCGGGGGTCGTTAACAAGAGCTTGCGCAACAAAACCGCCGGGCATTAATGCAAAAATAATCCGATGCACAAGTACCCGCTCGGCGTGCATGAGCTCGCGACGCGACTTAATGGTGGCTTTCGCGTCCGTCCGCCGCTTTCTCGAGCACCTCTTTTCTAGCCTGCCCGCCCGCCTGCCTGCCTGCCTGCCTGCCTGCCTGCCTGCCTGCCTGCCTGCTTGCCTGCGAGAGAAGAGGAGACCGAAACCTCCAGTCGATTGGCCGAATTCATTTTCGCGTGCAGACGTCGGGACGTTACGCAATTGCGATTCATCGCGACTTCGCGTCGCCTTCGCTTCCCTCGGTCGCGAAGTTATATCCGCTCTTGTAAGACTCTAGAAAAACTCCGACGATGAAGATGTCGGAGGAAGACGTTAATTAATGGACGGAGCAGTCATAATTATGTACTTGTGGATTTAGTTTGAGAGAAAAAGAAAATAGAAACAAGGAAAGTATGGAAGCGCTGCACGCGAGACAAATTGCCGTTGTTAGAAAAGTCGAGTCTCGCGAATTTGCGTTGCCCTTAATCGTGGAAATTAATTTCGCGACAGGACGACGCGAAAGCCGCTGGAATCCCCGCGGCGCCGAGCAGGAAAGTGCCTTTAATCGCCGGATTATCATGGGCGGCTCGCCGACCAGAGTCGATAGCGGCCGCGCGCGCGTTACGCGTTATTGCGTCGCTATTCCGATAGACGCGTGGACTTATCGAGTCAGGAAAGGTCCCCGATCCAGCCAGAGCCGGTCATTCTGCCTGCAAATTTGCATTGTTGTCGGCTGGCATGCGCAAAGCCGAATCGTCGTTTCGCCGATTCGGAAGTTCCGCAAGATTGTGACCTCCTGACCGCTGAGATAATTCAATTCTAACCATTCACTCTTCTAAGAATTTAAGCGATCACGGAGGGCGAAATTGATGATGACCGTTTGAACGCTGTTTGTTGCCGCAGGTGCATCCATGCGGCCGTTACCGACACAATACCGTCGTCTTCATCCTGGCGAAAGAGTACAACCTGAAGAACCTCAGGACCATTCACAGGCTGGACCGACTCACCAGCGGCATCCTCCTGTTCGGCAGGACGCCGAAGAAGGCGAGGCAGATGGAGCACCAAATAAGAAATCGACAGGTCGGTTGCGTAAGCATACTCTACGTGAGAAAAACGACGCAGCTGGCGTCGCTCGCGCCCGTCGCTCGTCCGTCGCTCACTCAGTGGAATCGTTGAACGTCACTACGACGACTACTAAGACGGTGGTAACCGTGTGTGTGTGTGTGCATATATGCCTTTCACATTTCAGGTTCACAAGCAATACGTGTGCCGAGTGGAGGGCGAGTTCCCCGAGGAGGAGGTGATCTGCTCGGAGCCGATTGAGGTCGTCTCCTACAAGATTGGCGTCTGCAAGGTCTCCGAAAAGGGCAAGGATTGCGTCACGCGTTTCAAGCGTCTCAGCTACAACGGCAAGTCGTCCGTGGTTCTCTGCAAGCCGCAGACAGGACGTATGCATCAGATCCGCGTCCACTTGCAGTATCTCGGCTACCCGGTGGTGAACGACCCGCTCTATAACCACGTAGTTTTCGGCCCACACAAAGGCAAAGGCGGTAACATCGGCAAGACCGACGAGGAGCTCGTCAGGGATCTCATCAGTATTCACAATGCCGAAAACTGGCTCGGCATGGATGGTGACTCCGAGATGAGCTTATTTAAACCGAAGCTGGAGATGGAAGATCGGATGTTGGGCTCCGCCAACGACAAGGATGGCTCTTCGCCGTCGTCCACTCCGGGTTTGGTCGAAGATGAGACACAGCAGCAACAGCAACAGCAGCCGCAACAGCAGGAGCAGCTCAAGTCCCTAAAGGTCACCGTGGGAACCCAGACGGGCTCGGAGCCGCCCGACTCGAGCTTCGCTAACGACAAGGTCACCGTCGATCCGCACTGCTACGAGTGCAAAGTAAAGTACAGGGACCCGAAGCCGTCGGACCTGGTGATGTATCTGCACGCGTGGCGTTACTGCGGGCCGGGATGGGAGTACGAGACGCCGCTGCCGGCGTGGGCAGCCAGCGATTGGACCGGCGACGATCGATAGTTCCGACGTGATCGAGGCTGATCCGCACGGACTCCTCGGCGAGTCGTCGTCGTCGTCGTCGTCGTCGTCGTCGTCGTCGCCGCCGCCGTCGCCGAGTCTCGAATCCCCTTTTGATATCCTTACCCCGTGCCTTCCATCCGCCAATGAGCGATCTTGACCATCGTACACCCGAATACACACACACCCACACAAATAAGATTCACAGACAGACACGTACACTTGCGCACACATACTCGAATATACAGTTACATTCTCCTATAACTCGGCCGTCGGATACCTCGGAGCTGCGATCCGAGAGAAATGGGATTGCGGGAACAATCTCGTCGCTCGATTTGCATTTCTGCAGCTCGCCGACGATGTATGGTGTTATAAGTGACGCCCGGCGTCGTTATCGCGCGACGTTCGCGGAGCGAACGGCGAAACGATTCGCCGACGTGGCCGCTCGCTCGCTCGCCGGCCGCACACACATACACACACACACACGCACGCACGCACACGTATACACACACTCACACACCCGCGGCAGAAATGCATGTTAGTTCTCGCGACGGGTTCGCCGGGCCGCTCTCGTTTCGTCATACGTTCTGGCAGGGATCCCCGCTGTTCGGCTCTCGCGCGCCGGCGATTTCGCGCGAGAAATCAACCGAGACGACGTTACCGCGCGAATTAATCACAGCGACAAAAGACAACGTTGTTACCGATCCTTACGTTTAACCCTCGCACTGTCCTGATTCTGGGAGCCAAATAATAAATCAGATCGTCATTATTGTTATTTTCATCTCGCTGCGCTCACGTAACGCTGCGTTCCAGGTTTCTCAATCGAGCTCTTTCCCATCCTCCTCGTCGCCCCCTAAATAAACCTGAGACACTTCGCGTTGCAACTCAGTTTAGGCCGTGGTGCGAAATTTTTCCGACGTGCGAGTTGTCGCGCGACGACTGTTCCTACGATCCTTCTTCAAAGCACCTAACAGCTTCGACGGGAGACAGCTTCTTTGTCTCATGCAGTCGATTGACGTGGAACTTGTTGCAAGTCGCAGGACTTTGTTGTAGCCTCCGGATAGGATTCTCATCGAGACAGAGAGAAAGAGAGAGATGCGTGATAACGAGGAGCGTAGGGAGCCTGTGATTGTAAATCGCAAAAGGACGAAGAGAATTCACTTATAAGAGTTGACGCGGCGAAAGCAGCGTGTTGTGCTCTGTTCTCACTCGTGACGTGAGTGGAAGAACGCGGTCGACCCGGCGACGATTCTTCGCTGCGCGGTCGCGCAACCGGAACGTGCGAGCATCAGCGTGTAAAATCCGCGACACACGTGCAAAAGTCGCTTTCGCAAAAGACGTCGTCGCGGAGGCCGAGACAAATGCGCGCGTTCTGAAAGGCGCGACAGTCTGGGCCGCTTTCATGAGCACAGTCAGTCAAAAAGTCACTGCCACTGGAGCGAGAGACGCCCTCTCTCCCGTTCCCCGCGGCCCCCTTTCCGGCCCCAACGCGCGCGGAGATTGATGCATCTGTCGCAGATGGCATGGTGCTCCGATGGATCGTATCGTTCATCTTGATTTATGACGTACAGAAGCACGTAGGAGAATCGTGATCTTTTCTATTTCTGCAGGGTGTATAGAGCGCGAAGGGACACAAGCTTCGTCACCCTGCTTTTACACCTCGCGGGACATTTTGATTCACGGCGGATTCGCGTCCGAGAATCCATTTTTTCCCTTCTCAAAATTCCAGTGCGAATGGAACCTGAGTCTTTATCTAAGAATAAACGACGCGCGAGAGCGGGCGTAAAGTAAACGACGTCGCGAGCACCTCGACAGCTTTCGCTTAACGCGACCGGACGCGGACGGTCCCGAGGAATGTGTTGTTGCTCGATGAATTTACGTCAGTTTGGGATTCGGAAATCGACTTTGGTGGCGGAGCGAATCGGCGATATCAATTATATCCGGCGGTGATGTTGCCTTTGGCATGAAATCGCCTCAGTCTGACAAAAAGAGAAAAAGAGAGAGAGAGAGAGAGAGAGAATCAACTAAGTAGAAGATAAATTTATCTCGCGGCTGCGGTAGCCTGGCGATTCGGCTGCGTTCCGGAGAGCGAATTCGACGAAGCCCTGCGACTTTGTATTGTTGTGTTAAACTAATGTTTATCGTTAATATATCATTGTAAAAGATTCCGTGAGCGCGTGCGCGCACGCGACAGAGAGAAAGAGAGAGAGAGAAAGATGGACACATCGGTATTAATCGTGTGTATTACATATTAGAGGAATTATTCTCGGTGATATCGTACCTCTCTCTTGGTTGCTTACTGTCATCAGTTTCCTATCACGCGATGCGTGCGTCCATTTTCGAAAGAAATCATCGTATCCTCAAGATCGGCGCGTAACGTAATCAGCATTGTTTCCTATGCCACATCGATCACCGTTCTCCATTGAAGGTGACCTGGTCCCATTCACACGTGCGTGTACGTTTCCTCGCACGGTTTCACGGACAGACTTCTCTTCTTGAAACCGGCACGGCCGCCAGGAAGAGGAGGAGGAGAGGGTGGAAGTGGAGGTCGTATCCTCAGTAGCACAGGTAGGGGACTGTGACGTAGGAAACCGCGGTAGAGGCGCGTGACTATTTTTATGGCAGATATATACGCAGGGGAACTAACGTGGTGGCGCGGATTCAGCGGCAGGGGTCTCCAACAATAAGCGTGATCTTGTCGGACGACAGCCAATGATCATGCCAAAGAGCGAGCGAGCGACCAGCGAGCTTTCAATCATATCGTGCACATGTACCTTTTCTCGCGCCGACGTCGAAAAGAGCACGGTCCGGTCGGCGGCAAGTAGAGTCTAGTAGAGTCTCGCAAATCAAGGCCCAATAGTACTCTTTGTAAATTTCTTACAGTGTAATCTCACTCAAAACGGGTGAAAATGTTTTCACTCGAAACAACAAACATTGAATTTTTCTCAAATTTAGGATGAGTAGGGGAAAAGGTGAGACAACTTCCCTTCTTAATAGAGAGAAAAACAGCTCCTTTTAACACCATAAACAATGTGGTACTGACCCTTTTGAGGCCGATAAAGATCCTAATAATTATATTTCAGTTATCGATAGGTGTCGTAGTAATTGTTAAAGAAATCAGCTTTTTTCATATTACTGCCTTCTCCCCTATATTTTAAGACTATTATTAAGAAAATTTTTTGTTAAAGATAATCATTGCTTAAAAGAAGGAAAGCAAGTTAAATAGTCGCTTTTCTAGCAGAATAATATTCTTCTCTGTGTACCTTTCGAGTGTAATTTTACTCCAAGATTCATTATCAAGTATAACCCGGCCTAATCTATGTCCACTTTGGTGAAATGAGATCTTCTCGATCAAACCTTTCTTGTCTCGACAAGAGAAACTGATCTAGGATTAGGATCAGGTTTGATTTTATCAAAACGGATCGGATCGAATTATATTTGATAATGAATCGGACCGGATCGTGTTGAGCCTTGGTTTGCAGGGCTCTGACGACAAGGTGTTTTACAAACAAGTACAATCGCGAGCGAGTGAGATGCGAGGAGAATCAACGCGCTAACATTATTTTATTACGGGGTATGGAGTCGCGCGTAGCGGAAAGCACGCCCAGTTGCGAGCCGTCTCGTCCGCTCTCGCTGATCGCACGCTCCCGACGATGGTCCCTCTCATCGGGTATTCGCTCGTTGTTCACGAGCTCCTCTCGGCCGAGTTGAGCGGCACCGAGCGGCATCCAGCGAAGGCAAAAGCTATCATCGCGCACTTGTCCCGCGTGACGTTGAAGAAGCCACCACCACGCGAGCACAGCGAGGTCTGTTTTGCGTCACGCGTGATAACACGTGGTGCAATGTGCGAGAGCAGCGGACGGATACGCGGCGGTCGGCTAACAAAACACGCTCCGCGTGACGCGGTCTTTAGCTTGTATTTAGCGTCGGGTCGTTAAGTCGTGAGCAGTGATGGGAAGTGTGACGATCCAGATGCGATTGGCGAGTCACAGATTCGGCGAATATAATATCCCGTCGCCCGAGATGGAAGCGACGCGGCGTGTTACAATTTCTGACATACCTCCAACATTAAAAGAAAGAAAAACTCTACTTCGCTTTTCTGACGGGGCCAACTCACGCGCGACGTGTCTGGATGTTCGCTCAGGGGTGATTTTTGCTATGACGAGCGCTACCAATCCGCGATCTACAATACACGGATATGTGTGTCGTGTGCGTCAACGAGAGTATTTAAGTTTGTACTGCTGCAGCGAGCTATCGATTTACATTGAAGGTGTACGCGGATCGAGGGTTGAGTTTGCCGAATATATATTTTTAGAATAGGAGTTTCTCTCCAATCTTCTCTGATTTAGAGCGAGAGCGTGGAAGATCTAGTACGACGGCTGCTTTCGGGCCTGGCGTATATCATAGGCTGTTACCATAGGTCGCAGAGATAGATGTCTTTTTAATATAGAGATTCTCCACACGGGATCAAGATGTAGGCCGCAGAGAGAGAGAGAGAGAGAGAGAGAGAGAGAGAGTGAGTGAAAGAGAAAGAGACGCAGTCTCTTTTGCGTTCTTAAGCGTTAAATGTTATCGCGCGCATTGAGGTACTCGAAGGCTTAAACACTGACCGCGGTGCGTCTACACATACACACACAGAGAGAGAGAGAGAGAGAGAGAGAGAGAGAGAGAAAGAGAAAGGGAAAATACGTTAGTGCCTAAAAACGTTCGAGAAACATGATACACGTTAGTTACTAGATATTTTTTCAATCTAGAGCGATCTAGAGCGATTTAGAGCACGAGCACCTGCGAGCACTCGAGACAAACCAATCTTGCCATCACTGCCCGCGAGAGTCGTGAATACGAGAAAGCGAAGAACATAATAGGGGCGATGTGCGACGCAAGAAAATGGGTTTGCTAGATATATGTGTATGTATACATGGAAAGAAGACGAAGGGGGAGAGAGAGAGAGAGAGAAGGAAGATAATGTAACAAAACGGACCTATCATAAAAGACAGTGTGTGCGCTTACTAACTCAATCGAGATAGCTCGCCCTTCGTCGGCGAGCTATCCCGAACGTAAAATGGCTAGCTTAAATCTATTATTTAAGTAATTGAATAAAAAAGAAAAAAAAAAAAAGAATGCACGGTAATTTCGAAACCGCGAAAAAGACAGTTCCGATTTTAGTGGCGCTTAGAGAGTGAGAGAGTGAGAGCGAGAGCGGAAGAATGGAGAGATACCGGTCTGTGGAAACGAGAGAGCGAGAGAGAATGTGTGCTTTTGTATATATTGTATACGCACATTGTACCGTATCTAAAGCCACATCATTATCTGTACCGTAGTCGGCGGAACGTTAGTCGCTAGTGAATTCTCTTGTATGATGAACGAATAAATGCAAAGTATCGTTCGATATAAAAATGGCGGTGGATATTTTCATGGAGAATCCGGTCGCCGTCCGTCGTCGGCGTCTTGTTCCGTGCCGAACGTAAATACCCAGGGATCGTATGCATGATTCATGATAGAGACGGCTTTCGCTCCACCTCATTTCCGCTGAAGCGCGCGTTCGATAAAAATATTTTCCATTCACCATACATATCGTTTATTCTGCCGCTCTATCCTGCATAATACAACGTTGGACGCCGTTAAGCGTATCCCGTAGGCGTAGGCGTAGGCAGCAGCGACGGCGGCACACCTGCAGCGCACGACGTACACAATTCCCACATAAAAATGCCGTATAACGAGTGATACGGCCCGGTTATCCGCATCGCTGGCTATGCGGAAGGTAAATGTTGCTCTCGCGACTCTGAGTAAGTTCGACCAATACCCCAAGGTGAAATCCAGTTTTGTTGTATCTCGTGCGTACGATCCACATCTTTTCTCCACGATAGCGTATATTTTTAAGAAGTCGGAAAGCGCGTTGTATATATTCTGGCTTTACCGCTATCTTCTCCGACAGCTCTCGCATCGACTCTCAGCGAGTGCTCGGTGAATCATTCTCATATGTGATCCGCATACAATAGAGTTTATCGCCTCCTTAAATCACCGATCCCGTCTGATACCCTTTGCTTTTCCTTGTCCCGACGCTTCAATCTCCTAGCGATGTGCTACAAATATGATCACTCGCCTGGTTGACAACGAATGTCCATGACTGCGCGCAACATTTCATTTCGAGATACCGCTTCGCTGACTTTATTCTCCTACGTGAATATTATCAACTACTTGGCCTAATTTCGTTGCGTGTAGCGCAAACCAATCTTCCAAGGCATGTTTATCCATTCACGATTTACGTGCGATTTACGTATATTTATGTGCACATATATACATACATACATACATAGATACATACATATATATACATATACATACACATATACATATAAATATTCTCCAATATTCTCTTTGTATATTCCTTTTATTAAAGTCGAACCACTGGCGGACGTTGCACCGAGTTCGAAGGACATTGTTACATGAGAATCGCGCGACTATCACGCATGTGTTTCATTCATTTATATACAGCGAGAATAAATAAAAAAATCTTACAGGGACTGCTCTTTAGAGTGTTGTCTCTTTCTCTGTCATGCTCTATCTAAATGTCCGCTTCTATTTCTCTCTACGGTTTTCAGTTGGACGCGACTTGCTTGTGCTGCTTCATGCGGGCCTCGATCTCCGGTCTGAAGTGCCTAATCAGACCTTGAACCGGCCACGCGGCGCCGTCCGCCAGCGCGCAGATCGTGTGTAGTTCTATTTGCTTCGTTAATTCCCACAGCATGTCTATCTCGTGCACCTCGGCTTTACCTTCCACGAACCTGCGAGGATATCGATAAAATTTAACAGCTAGGAAGGGCAATACTCGTGTGAATTGTCACTGGTAAACATGTTCCTACCTTTTGAGTATCTTGTGCATCCAGCTGATACCCTCGCGGCAAGGCGTACACTGACCGCACGATTCGTGCTTGTAGAAACTTATCAGGCGGGTAATGGCCTTGATTATGTCAGTCTGTTTGTTCATTACGATTACCGCGGCCGTGCCGAATGAACTTTGCACTCTGATGCAGTCGTCAAAATCCAATAACACAGTGTCGCATGCGCTACAAGACATACGATGATTTTCGAAAGGCGAGATCGTCAGTCAGTCGATCGATTGATTACCTTTTAGGAATGACGGGAGTAGAAGAGCCCCCGGGAATGACACCCATCAAATTATCCCATCCGCCGATCACACCGCCCGCATGTCTTTCGATCAGTTCCTTCAGCGGGATGGACATTTCTTCCTCCACAGTGCATGGCTTATTGACATGGCCGGAGATGTTGAAGAGCTTAGTTCCGTGGTTACGCACGCGTCCGAATGAAGCGAACCACGCTCCACTTCGGCGGCAAATCGTCTGTAAGTTGACATTATTCAGTTAAATCAAGAGACGAGTCGTCAAATTTAGTGAAATCTTCATCGTCACGTACGGGCGCCACTGCTACTGTCTCCACGTTAGTGACGGTCGTGGGGCATCCGAATACGCCGACGTCGGCCGGAAACGGCGGCTTCAGTCTAGGTTTCCCTTGTTTGCCTTCCATAGATTCGATCAGAGCAGTCTCTTCGCCGCAGATATACGCACCAGCTCCTCGCTGCACAAAGATGTCGAAGTCGTAACCAGAGTTGCAAGCGTTCTTTCCGATGAGACCAGCTTGATAAGCCTCCGCTATAGCGACTTGCATGTTGGACGCTTCGTTGTAAAATTCGCCGCGTATGTAGATGTAAGCTGCGCAGGCTCCCATAGCACGACCGGCGATCAGACAACCTTCGACGAGCTTGTGTGGATCGTGACGCAGAATCTCACGGTCCTTACAAGTTCCTGGTTCGCCCTCATCAGCGTTGATCACTAGATACTTCGGCCTGCCGTCTGAAGGCTTATTCATGAAAGACCATTTCATGCCAGAAGGAAAACCAGCACCACCACGGCCTCTTAAACCGGAAACTTTGATCTCATTGATGATCCAATCGGCACCTTTGTCCAATATTTCCTTAGTCTTATACCAATCACCACGGCTCAAGGCACCCTTCAGCCTCCAGTCATGTCTGCCATAGAGATTTGTAAAGATACGATCTTGGTCTGACAGAGGTCCACCTTGTTTCTACAAAAAGAGAACAAAGATGTCAATGATGCAAGCTGTATCTTGGGTAATATATATTTGTTTCAGGATTTGCCTCTAGTGAATACTATTCTCTCTTCTGTGTTGCATTTCCTAAAATATAACCTTTATACCGGTAAGTTTTTTTATTTGGATAGTCACAAAGTTACACTGGAATAATGGTCATTTGTATTGCTTTTACTATAAGGTTATATTTGCAAAATTGCAATATTCAGTATTAAATTTCTCATAAACAGTACAAACAAATTGCATGAAACTTTATCTACAAATGTTTTACTACGATAAGTATTACATTAAATTTTGTATAATTTTTGTATAATTTTGACTTAAGTGAATAAATTCTTTAATCATGATTGGATCTAAGAGCATATATCAATCAGATTTACATAATTTGCAATAGATGCAAAGCAATTTTCTCTACTAATGGAATTGAAACAAGCAAGATCATTGTATAAGAAGAGTCTCACCTTTCCCTCGGGGGCAGCATCGGCAAGAGTTCTTTGCTGTTGCTGGCTACTTAAAATCGACCCAAGGAGACCTTTAAAAAGTTTAAATTTATTTAATTACATAACCTTGTCGCGTCAAACATGTCATGGCAGGTAAAGTTTGGTCGCGAAAATGTACGTGCAAACACTTGCTCGTTGCTTTATCGTTAACAATGATAAGACAAACGACAACAGACGTGTCTTCGATAACAAATAAATGCAGAACTCACCTAATTGTCTCCTTGGTATCTGAAAACAACGCACTATGGCACTCGCCATTTCGCAGCTGATTGCCAACGAGGATGCCTGAAACATTTTTACTCGACCGGTAAAAAACATTATTATCGACTACTAATATTTTAATCTGCCTGTTAGCATTAAAGATGATGCACGTATTGCGGTTTATGTAAAAATTACAAGAGTGACAGTCATTTTGGCGTTAAAAACGCGTCGTTAAATAAGCTCTTTGATTAAAAACTAGTGCTATTATTGTTTTCTTGATTTTCCGATATTTTTTAATGTCAGATCTTTAATTTGAATCAGCACTTTTTCGTATTTTAATTAATCGTTCTCAGTAATTCCTAAGCGAAACTGAAAGCATGTTAAAAACATGAAAAAAAGAAATTCGTTCTCTGTACTCGGAACACAGATGTCTGTACTAAACTAGATTGCTAACAAGGGCTTCGAACGTGTGTCACGTAAGGTTTCCGGTTGCATGCGAGAAAATGGCGGCGGTCCTGTGTGTGACGTTGGTGTGTGACGTGTCACTTGTGTGAGTCATGGATGTAGGAATATAAGGATAGAGTATAAGCTGAGTTTATGGGGGCAAGGGGGGTGAAGCCGATTTGAGGGACGAGGTATCTCTAAAACTGTGCCTGAATTTGAGTTGAGTTGTATACTCATGCGCAATACCGCCAATTATAAACGAATTTATATTATATTTCCGCCCGAGACGCACTTTCGACGGATAAAAGACGCGAGAAACACAGAGATGTGGATCGATGTGTGCACATGGCTGTTGCTTGGTGCGAAAAGATCGAGCATTTCGAGAATAGAGCGATTGAACGTCTGTTCTTTTCTAACTTACTATCATTGTATGGAAGTACAACGGGCACGAACATATATGTAATACTACTATATTGCTAAATGAGAGAGAAGTCCGGCCCCAGGACCACGGTGCGGGAATATATATTTCTCTCTCTTTCTGAGTGTATAAACGTTATGCGCATGCAGATAGATCGTACCCGCCAATGGGAAAATAAATTATATTGTACAAAGTTGCAAAGTTGCAAGCAACTGTAAATGAAAATATTAGTTTACACAAGTAAGAAAGCAGCTATCCAGGTTAGGTACATGTCACTCACTAGCACTTTTACTTTATATATATATATATATACAGGGTATAGCAAAAGTACCGGAACGGCAAGATAACTTGGCGGGGGAGCATTTTAGAGAAAAATGTTTCAGACAAAAGTTGTAAGGCTTAAAAAAACGCATTCAACGATAGTAGTTATTTGACATAGGATGGCGTCGCCAAGGTCAGAACAAGGTCAACTTTGCTTTTTTAAATAGAAATACAAATTTTCTATTACGGTATTTTATTCAACGTAAAAACGCAAACAACTTTTGCTTGAAAAAATTTTTTATACGACCTCTATTTTCTAAGATATTTACGTAAATATCTACAAGATTATTGGTTTCAATAATTTTTTATTTGAATTCTATCAACTTTAGCGGAAAATATGAAGAGATAAAAATTGTATATTTTGTTCTTATAGAGCTCTGAGAATTTTTTCAGAATTTTATATTAACTTTTTAGTACTTCATTTTCTTACATTTTCTTGAAGTACTAAAAAGTTAACACAAAATTCTGAAAAAATTCACAGAACTCTATGAAAACAAAATAAGCAATTTTTGTTTCTTGATATTTTTTGGTAAAGTTGATAGAATTCAAGTAAAAAATTATTGAAACCAATAATCTTGTAGATATTTACGTAAATATCTTAGAAAATAGAGGTCGTATAAAAAATTTTTTCAAGCAAAAGTTGTTTGCGTTTTTACGTTGAATAAAATGCCGTAATAAAAAATATGTATTTCTATTTAAAAAAGCAAAGTTGACCTTGTTCTGACCTTGGCGACGCCATCCTATGTCAAATAACTACTATCGTTGAATGCGTTTTTTTAAGCCTTACAACTTTTGTCTGAAACATTTTTCTCTAAAATGCTCCCCCGCCAAGTTATCTTGCGTTGCCTTCTAGGATGCGTTCCTTTCGGGCGTTCACACGCTTTAAGTGCTTATAGGCGTCACTCTATCTTTCTTCCGCATCTAATGAGCGATAAAAATAGAATGACGCTTACAGTGCGTGAGCGCCCAAAAGAAACGCAGTCATAGTAGTATTACATATATGGGTACGAACCAGGCGCATTTTATCGTTACCATCGCGAAAATGCGGCAAACGAACGTAGTAAATGTGCACTTTGTTAGATGGCGTCTCGAAAATGCGCCTAGTTCTGGCCGCTAAAATCAGGCCGCTCTCAGGTTTCTCTATGGTTAGGAAGACTGCAGTGGCGAGATCTCGTAACATAGTGCTCAACCGTATTCTCATCGCTTCGACCGAATACGTGTACCTTGATTATCCTTCCGTGCAAAGTTCAAAAATTGTCACTCCGTGTACGCGCACTCGGCGCGTGCGACTTGCGTGTCCGCTTGAAGGCCGTCACATATGACGGCAGTCGATTAAACGAGGCGATGGAACGCGGACGTGACACGTGGAATCCCGGACAGTGCTGATACCGTAGCACTGTTGATCTTGCGGGATTTGTATTTTTGATTGTCCTATCTTCGCCGAGGCAAAATCGAGACACATAATTAAACGGCAAGAGAAACGTCATGCCCTCCAGAAGAAGCAAGGGTGGCCTCTTGGCCAGGGTAAATTTCCCGTTATACACCCTACAGATGCTGACTAGCAGGCATATCCTGGTGGGGGGTGGAGGAGGCTCCTCCAAGACTGGAGTTGCTAATGGTTTTGTGAGTTTGATAAATTTATGTAAATTGCTTGTCTTTTTTTGTGAGAGATATTACTTATATATTCCTATTAAGAATCTAAACACGTCATTATTTTTGGCAAAATATCTTGTATCTGATGTTGATAAGATATTATGATTTGATATCAAATTAAATTTATCCTAACTATATTGTTCGTGTCACAGGAAATCTTTGAATTGTCACACAATGGAACTCATTTCATTGCCGAAGAAGTAACCAGGCACGAAACTGGTCCCAGTGTAGTCATGAATTGTGCCTCGCATACGAACGGCAAGAAGACATGGATAGTCGCTGGTCAAGAAAGTCATTGTCAACTATACAATGTCAATTCCAAAATAGTGACTTCAGAGAATGGAGAGTTGATTAAGGGGCCAGCAACAACAGCAACAATGAACAAGGATGGTCTTAGGCATAGAAGAAACAGTGAAAAGGTTGATGAAGCTCAGTCACAAAATAAGAGGACAGAAGAGGTCAAAGACGACAATTCCAATGTGAAAAGCAAAAAGTTGCAGTTAATACTTAAACCTGCTGATAGCGTGCAGACAGCCTTTGGGTAAGATAGTTTGCATTGATTGTATCGCTCTAATTTCTCTTTTAATGTACTATGTTGCCAACAGCGATGGTGAACCTCTACAAAGAGTCGTCAGAGTGAACCTACATGGTAAAATAATGGCCACAGGTAGCACGGATGGTAAAGTGAGATTGTGGAAGTTCCCGCAATTGCACAAGCTATACGATCTCGATGCGCATGGGAACGAGATAGACGACATAGACTTTAGTCCGGACAGCAGTCTTTTGGTCAGCATCGCTAAGGACGGCAAGGCTTTCTTATGGAACGTGAAAGACGGCACGAGAGACAAGGAGCTTACTTGGACACCGCCGAACGGTGCGAAGTACATGTACAAGAGATGTCGCTTTAGGAAATTGGCGGAAGACAAGACGAGGATTGATCTGTTTATGCTCTCTAACGCCATCACGGCGAAGAATCCTAGTTACCTTCAGTTGTGGGACGCGCACACCAGTTCTATCGTAAAGTCCGCCTTCTACAAGGAGACCTTGTCGGCCCTGGCCGTGTCCGACAATGGCCAATTCGTGGCTGTCGGTACGATGTTCTCGGGCAGCGTCGACATATTCGTTGCATTCAGTCTGAGGAAGGCGCTTCATGTGCCCGGCGCGCACAGTATGTTCGTGACCGGTCTAGAATTCTTACCAACGAGTCTGGATGGTCCGGCGATTACCAGCAATACAGAGACCGCGGTCGTCAGTATCTCCGTGGACAATAGAATCTGCATACACAGTATACCATTCAGACGTAAGTACTTCATCAGAAACGACGACACGACTCGAAAAATTCAGAACATTGTACTGAAAGAGCAGTTGTCTAGTTTATTGCACATATAAGATGCAATAACTAAATTGGGTTTTTTTATAAAAACTAAATTAGTAAATATTTGATACGCTAAATGTGTCTGATGATATGATTTTTTCAGTTGAATCGTGATTACAAGCCCGTATCTTAATAGTCGTCATCCGAGACTCGTCTCACATGAGATATTCAGATCTTTGTTCAAAGTCAGGTTCAAGTTTTTCAGTTGAATTATGTATGTGTGTGTATGACACTTATAATCACGACTTAACTGAAAAAATCTCATCTAACTTTTAATTCAGATCTGAGTATCTCACTCAGAATTAGTAATCTGAGTATCTCACTCAGAAGTTTCAAGTAACGACTTTTAAACACTTAATACTAACTTGAGACAAGTTTCAAGTAACGATTATTAATCCTTCGATTGGCAACGTATTTTCGCTATCTTCAAAGTGGCAAACAGAGTCGTCATTAGTATTTTTCTTGATTTTTCTCGCTTTGAGGTGTTCGCGAAAATGATTAAAACTTCCTTTATCTTTCTAGTTGAATACTACATAGTTTTGTGAAAAAAATTACCTAATATTTTACTTTTACTGATTTTACAGTGAAAATGTTTGGAGAAATGGTCACTTCTTAGAATCACCTGGACGCAAATGTGAATCTGGTTGTCACTCGGAGGATTAAAGCTTGATCTACAATATGCTCTTTGCTTCCTGCTTCTTTCTCTTTATCTCTTTCTGACTCAAACCTTAAGCTTTAAGCCACAAAAAGATAGAAGACAAGAAGCAGAACGCAAAGAGCATATTGTAAATCAGGCTTAATATAAGATTTTTAAAAAGACGACCTTTCAGATACAGGTCATAAGAAGAAAAAAAACTTGTATGTTTTAGATACACTGCCATTCTGGTTTGTCATCGTATTGATAGTCTTGTGTATATGCGGCGCATTCATTCTCTGCAGTTATCTGGGCATATGACCCATGAAATGCGCGACCGAGGCAGTGAAGCAGGACGCCGCCTTCTCCCGGTTACGTTGCGTCTCCTAATAATAATCAGACGACGAGTCGACGATTGTCCGCGTATTAGAGATCGAATGAAATACAGACGCGATCGTTCGACGCACGATCCACTCGTACCGTTTACCTTGGCCGCTTGGAAGCGCCGTATTACGCAGGACAAATTACGTAAATATAAGGAGGGGGTGCACGGTGTTTCATCGGAGACACTCGTACGGTAATTAGCTTGTGAAGCAAACGAGTGCACTGTAACCGCGAGTATGCACAGTGTTAGGGCTAAAAACGTTCTCGAATTGTTCGACGGATCGTCGTGGTCGTTCGTTACCGTACAATAGCTGAATTCGTTGTTGTACACTGGCATAACTTTTGGGAATGTTTATCCTGGAACTGTTCGACGGAACCTTTTCGATCGTGATGATTGCATTTTTCATCGATTGTCTTATTATCTGAAGTGATCGGAATGTTCTCGGCAGCGATAAATAGCGAACGGTTTCGCGATAGCTGTTCGCGATGTGCAATTTAAACGACTTGACGACGTCGGTCGAGGTGCTACTGTGATAAATGAACTACGTCGCACCAGAGTTGCTTCCAACTGATTGAGGCCGCACTATCTAGCACATTGATGTACATAGATTTGCGTGTTGCGGATTTTTAGCGCGAAAAAGATTGGATTTAGCACGGCGCGTTCCCGTGCTATCTTCCGTTTGAGTACGGGTATGCTCAAGTAGTAGTTTTCGTTACGGCGGTAAATCGGGACGTATGCTTGTCGTACTTACCCACACGTTGAATGAAAATCTCGCAGTCCTCTTCTCTTTTGTGTTGCGGATGGGATTTTGTAACACATTGCCCTGTAACACATCAATTGCATTTATGTATTAGTGATTTCTATGTTCGTTTTTACCACACATTACCCCGTGTAATTATTACACGTGTGTAATTAACACATTATCACGTGTTTCTGACTGTTTTCCTCACAAAGTAAGACAAACGGTGAATGAGATATTTATATCGAATGATATTGCACGGTTAGCAATGATTGGCGTTACGTTTTAGAGGTCGTGAATTTTATTTATCGACGCTTTCTGAACTTTTTTAACGTTTGGCTTTATTGAGCGGTTTTATTGCTTGTTTTGTACACCTCTAACGCGAATTCGTTCCGAATGTATCCTCTAAATTTCTTGGAGTGACATTCCATTCGGAAAGTACAGTGACGACTGAGTCATCTGATTTCTCGAAATTGAAGATTGAATACATACTTGGTTTCAAAACAGCTTGAATACTTTTTCTCTGGTGAAGTTAGGAGCGCATCAAGTGGTTACGATTGCGAGCTATTATTCACGATAACCGATTTCGACAAGAGTTGGAGGGACATTATACAATATATCTAAAACGTAACAATTGAAACGGAGGATTCAGGAAAAACGCAAGTATCTTTATCACATTCTTATCTATCAGATAAGAATATAGTAAAGAGTGAATACTTACATTGTGTACTGTCACTTTGACTTCTCGATCATAACCGATTACTATGTAACTTATGAACAGTGGCTTTTGTAGCTTCTCTAACTTTATCGGAAGAAATATATTTAAATCGTATAATTCAGTGTAAACACCAAAACAGTAACATTGCATCAATGTTATTACTTAATGATGTAACTGAACGCAGTTATTATTTTTTTTAGTAGGAAATTATAACATATTAATGTAATATTACCAATTGGTGTTCACTGGGAGTATACTACATCTTCACTAGTATACTATATATTCACTCTAATTGATTGAAATATTCACTCACATTGAGTCCAAGCTCGAATGAAATATTCCATCTTGCGATTTCGAATAGTAGTATTTTATTATTACTTCAGGTGAAAATACTGCTCCTTTTCGCTCGTATTGAGTAAGATTTCGCTCCAAGAAATCTATAGAATATAAAGCGTTTATCTTGAACTTTCTTTTATCGATAAAAGTGCTTCTAAATGTGCTTACAAGTAAATCGGGAAGCCTGCAAGTCACATTTAGAAACATTTTTATCGATGAAAAAATGTTCAGAATAAGGGCCTGAATGTCGAAATTTGTCCGAATTAATGTGTATATGTGTACGAATTATCGTAAACAACTTTGAAGACCTTTCGAAAAAATAAAACAGATTTTTAAGCGTCGATCGATTGATAGTAAATCATTAAACAATGACACAATCGATACAAAGTATCTCTTTCGTGGAAAGAACTCTTGTGAAGCGTGGAAACGACAAAATAAAACCGTGAAATCCATTGTATCATGTACGGATCCGTGAAATATTCTCTCGCGGACGATTGTCCACTTGAGTTGTCGACGGAATGTCGTCCGAAATCGAAAGGGAGCCTCAGGTCAGCATTGACATTTTACGATCCGCCCTAGCTGTCTCATGGCAGTTTCCCACGCGGCGCGACGAGGAAGAGGCGCGACTATAAAGGAAAGTTTTGCCTTTTGACATTCGGGATATCCACGAAAGAAGTCAATGCATTCGACGCTGCGAGGTGATGCAAGAGAACATATTTACTAAATTCTAAATTCTTTTATCTACATGGAACATATAACTGCTTTCATGAAAAGCTATAATCTTGGTAAAGTTTAAAAAAATGTATTTTCTTATGTGTATTAAGAATATTTTACATTGGTATAAGTGAATATGTTATCACCAATAACATGTTATACAGCACAAATGTTTAAAATACTTCCCAGAGACATCCCAGAGATGTTTGACGTCTCTAGGACGTCTCTAGGATATATTTTGGACAAATTGTGCTGTATGAATAGTACCCATCATCACGAATTGATACATTATTTTTTAGATTTTTTTTCTCTCAATATATGGGTTGAAATGAGTTCTGCTTTTGTATATGTGTGTGTAATTTTTATTGAGAAATTTTTTAAGGATACTAGGAAGTTACACTTATGTAGACTCGCGCGTCGCTTAAATTCTAAACGAGTACATGTGTATAGGGGCACAGGGATGGTGTTCGGCGGCCTTTTCGTCCCCCGCATCGTCGGTACGGCAAAGGAAAACGACGAGGACGAGGATCAGGAGGGCAAGGATCCGGTGGTTATGTACAAGTGGGACGTCTCCTCCGGGCTCGTCGGTCTCATTCTCGCCGGAACGTCGAGCTTTCGGAAGCGCGTGGTCGACGCCCGCTCGGACGAGCTCTCGCTCCCCTTTTTCACGGGCGGAAGAGGAGCGCCGTCGCGCGATGGCGTTTTCCTCGTGAAATCGGCCATCCTCAGCGGATGGCGTGCGCCGGCGCGCTTGCCGATCCTAATCTGCATAAATAATAATAGCCGAGGATATTCGGCTCGGAGAGAAACCAGGCGCGGCGCGGCGCGTTTCCCTTCGAAAGCGGAAGACCGCTGTACGCTCCACTTTAGCCGCGCGACCTAATCTCCAGCCGAGGTGACGCTTTCTAATTGCGATAAGACGACCGATTGCTTTCTCCCGGTGTGTTCCTCCCAGAGAACCGCGACTCTCGGTCTCGTCGACGGCGAGCGCGATTTCCGCATCGTCGAGTCGCGTCACTCCCAAGTCCGCCGGAGAAACGGCCGACGCGGCGTCCCTCGCTTCGCGAACGACGGATCACTTCTTCACCGAGAAACCGTCGCCTGTCGGGTCCAACAGCCATGGGTAGTTGTTGGGACATTCCATGCAGGTGAAAAGACGCAAGGTCTCGCCCGGCAGCTCCCTGGTGGTCAACGGGCAGGCGTTGGGCAGCGAGCAGTACGGAAGGCCCTTCTCGTCGCAGGTCTCTTTCCAGTCTTGGAAGTCCCTGAGCGCGGAGAGTTCGGTGGGCTGTTGCATCCACTTGATCACCTGGCGAAAGAAACGAAGCGTGAAGAGCGCGCTCGAGCAAATGTCAATGAACGGACGGAGATAATTCGATTTCTCACCTGAACCATCGTGACGAAGTAGACGTCGCTTCTGGCGATCATCTCCTCGATGAACTTGATGAGCTCCTCTCTGTACTCCTTCTTGCTCTTGAGCCAAGACGCGTGGAAGTGCAGGCCGAGCGGCGCACGGTTGCTATTGAAGTGTCTGTTGAAGTTATGCCTGAGCAGACGCGCAAACTGCTCGCCGGTCTGGATGTTGGAGCACGAGTCGACCATGTGACAACCTGGCAGAGATTCGTCGAAGGTGGGGTCGTCTCTGCGGTCCAGCTCGTTCATCACCATCTCCCAGACCGGATGCGACCTGGACGGACAGTTGCCGCCGTTGCCGTTGCACTTGTGCGGCATCCTGAAGTACAGAGTGTACGGCCAGATGGGCACTCGTCCCAGAGAGGCGGTGATCGAGGCGTCGTACACGAAGAACTGATCGGCCATCATTTCAAATTGCTTGTTGCCGCCGACTCTGAGGTAAGGAGCGCGCATGCCGATGATGGAGCCGTCGGTGATGTTGGCGAAGCGCTCGATGATCAGACGTGCACCGGCCATCTCTGCCAGCCAGTCATCGTATGTGCCCTGAGTCCAATACTGCGGGTCGTCCTTGTGCGTCAATGAGAACACCGCGATCTCATGGCCGCGACGGTGAAGGTCTTGCACAGCTGAGTAGTTGGTGTACTTGTGGGAGACGAAGAAGGTACCGCGGATCTGGCAGCCGTTTGGGTTCTGCCGTTGCCCGTTGAAGATATCCTCGTACAAGTCGATATTGTCCACGTTGACGGCGCCGTTGAAGGTGATCGTGATCATCTGCGGCACTTGCTGGGGATCGATGTTGCCCGGGATGCGGGTGCCGTCCGCCGAGCAATAACAGTCGGGAAGGACGCATTGCGTGGGGTCGCAATCCGGAGCGCGGTTAGGATCAGTCTCCACGGCTGTAATTCATTCGGATTATTCTTCAGTCAAATTTTTTAAAAAACATTGCAGCGAGTGGTCTTGTTATTTGACGACAATTTGTCGTCACATCAAGAGGACGTTGAAATTCATTTTAGGACATTGCTTTTTCTTTATTATGAAAGATAAGTAAAATTTAACGGATTGTAATATACGTAAAAATAATGCTAATGGAAAGTGATTAGAAAATGACCATTATACCGTTCGAAAGCATAAATCTTCTTTTTTAATTTGCATATCTATAGATACAGGGCGACATTTCTTCACTAAGTTATAGAATATTGCAGCAAAAATGCCATTTCGACTTGGGCATTTACAGAAGACATACAAATCACTGTACGATGTTTTCCAAAATATAAATAGAAAATTTAAAGTTCACTATTTAAATTGCACTTGTGCGTCATGTTTTTTATCAAAATAATTGTTTTTGTTACAAACTCGATTAAAAGATATTAAAATATGTCGTCATTTTTCATTAAACTCAATATATTTTAGCGAGAAGCGATAATATTACGATCTTTACACACTTAAACCTAGAGACTTCAAACTTTAAAATGCTTCTAGAATGATTTTGTTATAGTAAATTTTTATGGAAGTTATAGGCCGGTATTCATAGTCGAATCTTATTTCAAGACCGTTTTAAGTAATATTTTAAGATGCGGCTTTGTGATTGGTTCATGACATCTCAAGGCAGTACTTAAGATGATCTTAAATATAAGATCGGACTATGAATATCGGCCATAGTCTATTGTCATTTTTCAGGATTCTGTATATGGACGTCCGATCCTTTATTGAGTCCTAGCACTACCTTAATTTTCGTTAAGGAAAGTGGCGGGTCATAGCGACGACTTTGGAACTAAATGTCGATACTGAGCAAAAATTTAATAATCCTTGAGACCCGTTACTAATATTTAAAAATAACGGGTCCGTTAATCTTTAAACCTGTTATTAATCCATAAAAATAACGAATCTAATAAAAATAACATGTTAAAGTTGATTGGTGGCTATTTGACGATATCGAACATAAAGTCACTACTAGAAAGGTTTGAATCTTAGCTAAGTGTTCGTAGGTGGTCAATAAATATTTGCTGAAAAAGGATCGAGTCTGAGATGTGGTTGACATTTAGTTTCAAAGTCTCCGCTACGAGCCGCCACTTTCCTTAACGATAAGTCGAGAGCTCGTAATACGATTCAATATATACTCAAGTGAACATTCACTCTTTGAATAATATACTACGGACGATATTATAATCAGATCTCTCTCGCGTTATATGTACGAATCACCTAAGATTTTTTGTTTACGCGATGTAATTTGATAAACTTTATCAAATATTGTGACAATCCACGTATTTCTGTTTACATTAGTATAACACTATAAAAAATAATTACACTTTATATTTAGTAAGATATTTGAAAACTAGAGGTTCCAGGTTAATTTCCGAAACATTTCATTAACATTATTTTTTACTATAATTACGTAAAATCGTTGCTCGTTGAATTTTGTCTACTTTTCTTAGTCGAAGAAAGCCATCCTTTAATTTTAGCCTATTAAAATAGACTACTTTCTACTTTGTCGAATTATAGATTTGGCATGCTTTGACAATACAATACGTAGCTCTTACGATACGTTTATAATCAAAATCTAAGATCGACTTGCATTATTCGTCACTGGATCTTAGCATAGGCGAGTGTAATACGTTACGACACTTACTGCAGGCGTTCTCGTCGGACTCGTCCTTGCAGTCGGGCTTGCCATTACAGAAGAGCTCCTTGTCGACACACTCGCCGTTACCGCACGACAATTTTCCTTCTGGGCAAACGGGTTCGTCGGTCTTGAGGATGGGCAAGACCTTACGCGGCTCTGTAAAACGCAATCCCTGTTAGAGTGCTGGATACTCGTTCGCAAAGTGGCTGCCATTTGAGCTACCGAGCGGATGCAGCATAGGAATCCATCAAATGTCAACAGGATGACCATAGAATGCCCGTTGCAACAAAATATTCATTAATTAACTCTTTCGACACGATTTGTAATTTATAATAAAATATGTAAAATCATATCGACGAGCGTAATTCCTCGATACAATAAATCGCGCACTGCGACAAAAAAGGGTTTTTCTTAGATCATAATAATTAATACGACTCAATTTAATGAATGTATAATGAATATTAATTAATAATATATTTTAGAAATTGTAATTTATATCAATTATAATTCACAAAATATAGTTTTCTATTTCAGTGCACGATTTTCTTTTATCGAGAGGCACCTGTTGACGAGCTCGTTTATGGTCAGCTACCGGACATTGTTTGAGATTCGCATTGCTGTCGGTGCCGTGAAGAATTCACATAAATAACCAGCCGTGAGTGTGATCAAGGCCCGGGATGCCGCACTGCTTGGCCCATCCCGAATTTATTTACACTGATTAAACGTAGCGGCGTAGGAACCATATGTCTCTCTACGTGGACTTGAAGAGCACCCAAACATGGAGGGTGGGTGGGGCGGGGGAGAACAAAGAAAATGTAAAAATTCAAATTGTTAAGCTGGTAGGGATTGTGCTGAATTAATTCGTGTCACCCAGTTCCGCAGCCTACCTCGCAGCACCTCGTAGCAGACACAATAACATCAAGTCTCTCTACTTGTACGTACCATCAAACACCAACTGACAGCAAGTGACTAACGTTACTTCAATGTTATAATTTCTCATTCAATGATGTAACTGTTACGTACAACATATGTTGCGTTGCGCTCACATTATTGAGTGCTCTCTAAATTTCTTGGAGTGGAATCTCGTTTACAAAGCAATAGAAAAAATACTGCCACTCGCAAGAGTGAATGTTCCACTTAAGCTTAGAGTGGATTCTGACTCAATATGAGCGAAAGTTTCAATTAAACGTAGATTCGAACTTTTCAGTTTTAAGAAAATATTCATTTTAATTCAGTGTGAAAAAAAATTCTCTCTATATGAGTGAAAAATCATTCGAATGCGGCTCGGTGCTAACGTCACTTGCCGAGTGAAATTTTACTCCAAGAAATTTAGAAAGTGATAAATTATAATACTGATATAATGTTACTGTTAATTGGTGTTTACTGGAGTTTTCAATCGGCAATTGCGGGGCATCTATGTACAGGCAAGATCTCGAAGGATCCTTTTCTCGCGTCGGAGAGATTGTCGCGTGGAGGAACTACCTCGCCAAACGCATACACGTTCCTACGCCGCTGTCTCAAAGATGGTTCTTTCTTTATTCTGGTCCTCCATCGGAGTGGCTTTCATCGCGTCTCGTCTCGTTTCGTCTCGTCTCGTCTCTCGTTTATCAGTCTCTCTCGTTTATTTTCGCCCTCGCAGCTTTTCTTATTGTCACATCGAATTACCAAGCGCACGTTTTGTCCGTCGCGTCGTTTCTCGTCTCGCTTAGTCACGGAGGGTGTGTGTACATCCCGTCTCGTCCTGCAACCTTTCTACCGGTTTTCGCAGGAGGACTGTTTGTCTTTCACTCGACGACAACGACTCGAACGTAAATCGTGACTCGGCTACTATTTTCTGCCTCGTTGACTGGCAGCGATGCACGCAAGTCGTTATTTGTGTATATGAAAGAAAGGCAGACAGAAAGAGGTAGAAAGAGAGAGAGAGAGAAAAAGATGAGCTTTGAAAGTGTGCTGTGATGCGAGCGAAACGAAGATGAGCGACAGTAACTGTTTAGGCAATGAAATTAGAGTGTGCCAAGCGCAGCATGAGAGCGTAAGGAATGGGCGAAGAATAACGTCTCGTTATTCGTTCGCATCCTCGAAGCTTCATCTGTCGAGACTATTGGATTCTCAACACACACTTCGTGTGTATGTGTCCGCACTTTTTAGGACAGTTTCCACCAAGTCTAATCGATGGAAAATACGCGACCGTGTACACCGTGCACGATTATGTTACGGAAGTGAGTGCGAAAAAGTCTCGTTTCTCGTCGTCCTGCAGTCGTGAAAACGAGGATTTGCGACGAAAGAGGAGTTCCCGCAAGGAGGGAGATCAACGATCTGGTTGATTGCGTGCGCGCGCGCACACATTTCGCGATTTCAGTAGTAAAAGCGAGCCGGAGTAGCGAGGAGCTCCTGTAAGGAGGCCAGATCGTCCAAGCGAAACCGATCTGGCAGCAGAGAGAAAGATCGGCCGAACGAATACGTGCAACCTCGTGCCTGGAGCGAGCGCTGCTCGTGGGGGACGGCGAGGGGGTGGATGGAGCGAAATGTTAGAAAATCATTGCGCGCCAATGTTGACCCGTGACGATGTGACGAAAAGAAGGATCGTGACATTTGAAATTTGCATCGCTTGTGACAACGCGTGCGTGCGCGAAACACGCAAAAAAAGCGCCGTTCTCTCGATAGAGATGATAAATTGGTACCAACGGGGCGAACACTACGTTCCGCGCGGTTTTTAAAGCGCCGCGCTCTCATATTTATTTAACCGGTATATCGCCCGTGTATTTGTTCGATTCGCGAAGCGCTCGTGCGTATTCAGCGTGCGTGAACGCGGAATGAGAATCGCGCGCGCGCGCAGCGGTGCATTTAGCGTCGAGTGGAAATTACGTTTTGAAACGCTAACGCAATAATCGCGATTACGGCCGGCGCGGAAAGATTATCGGCGTGCGATAATTGCAAAATTGCAACTCTGCAAAGGGAAGTTAGCAAAGGGGGCGACGGGATGCGAGAGAATTTATCTCGAGCAAAGAATCAGTATCTTTTCCTTCTTTCTAATTTTTATCTTTGTTTTTTTGTTTTGTTTTTTAAGAAAACTCCCTTCACCTCTTTCTAAATTTCCATCCGCGCGAATATCTGCGTCTCATTTGCTCTGAGCGAGCACTTGATAGACCGCGATCGCGTTGCCACTTGAAATTTAATGGCTTCAGGTCGGAAAGCGAGATGCGTCTGATGCATATTCACGCGAGGGATATTTCTCGCTGACGTTTATCAGCGCTCTCGTGGGAATAACGTGAGCGTAATGGTCTCCCGCGTACGCACTGGCGCGCAATTTGGTGTTAATGAAACGACGACAGGCTAGTGTTAAGCCGACGGCAAATCTGATGGAGCTGGACGAAATCGCGCGCTAGTTCACTGTAAGATTAAAAGCGACTCTGGCAAGCTGCCACTCGCAGTGAATGAGGGATATTTCGCAATGAGAGAGAGAGAGAGAGAGAGAGAGAGAGAGAGAGAGAGGAAGAATAAGATTCCCGCGTGACACGTAAATAATACGACGAAGCGCGATAAATAAGCAAGAGCAATCAATGCATTCGCGAAGTTTTCGAGCATAATACTTGAAGTAAATACTGGGGCTTCCAAGTATTCGAGTATATCTGATTATCCGGATATTCGAAATTGGTTCCGATCCGGAAACTCAAAATTGCATCACGCGAAAAAACCGTACGAAGAAGATAGGAATAACGGTGTAACTAGAACTCAGACTGAGTAACTAGAATTTCAACCGGTTGGATTCTAATTGCTTCTGTATAACAGTCAGTTTTATCGTCAGTTCTATCTTCTAGAATACGTGAAAATAAAGCAATATCCTGATATGATTTTTCAGCTTAAGTTTACGTTTTACAGTTGTGGAAATTTGTGTGCGGGAGCCGTAAGTTATTAAATTGCAATTAAAAAATGTTGATTTGATTGTCAAATTTTCGCGAGGGATCTAGATTTGTCCGAATGATCGGGCATCCGGCTAGTGCCAAATCCGAAGGAATATCGAAGCCCTAGTAGATACAGATAGCGCGCGTTGCTTGCTACCTCGTTCGTCCAACTCCGTTTGGAAAGCTTTGCTCGTTAGTGGTACGCGGTGAGTCGTGGAAATCGCGTGAGAAAAAATGGGGAGATAGTTTCGAGGACTCGAAACCGGATTAGCCGTTGACGAGGGCCGACGTTTCGCGACACTGTGGCGTCTCTGAAGGGTTCTCGCGCGATCACCTCCGCTTCTCTCGAAGGTTAAAAACAATATCGCCGTCGTCGTCGTCGTCGATAACGACAACGACGACGACGACGACGACGAGGGTCTCACTTTCGCTGAAAATCGAAACCAGTCGCGCCGCACCAGCCACCTCTCGCCTCTCGCGCCACGGAACGAAAGTGGTCGGACGAGAGCGACCGGCGAGTAACGTCTCTCGAAAGTATCGGGATCCGGGCATTCCCGATCGTTAATCGCGCCGGCTGAAAGTACAAGTCGCCCGCTCAATTTCGCGTCGAATCCCGTCGCTATGTTAATGAGCGCTTTCCGGTTTAATGGCGTCGCCACGTGTGCGTCGTGTGTGTCGCTGGAAAGTTTCGCACAGTCGGCTTTTTCGATCCTCGTCGTTTACGCAACGCGCGTTGCGCAATGTCCCGAAGCTCGATCAAGTAGTGATTTCTCATTGATAATTGGCTGGCAGGATCGCCGAGCTGAGCAACCTGCGACCTCGCGCGGAAAATTCTTCCCTTTTTCCTGAAGATTGCCCTTTCTTTCAGAGACGCTCACAGTCGGGGCACGTCGGGCACGATATCTCATGCGTTTAGTTAGTAATGTACGAATGGTGCGTGCTACGTTGCGAGTCTACGAAGGGATCGGCGATCTACCGAGGCGGGACATGGCTCGCCGTCGCCGATCCGTCGACTTACTCTCGAGCTTGTCACAGTTGGTGACTTTGCCCTTCCAGTCGCAGGTCTGTTTGTCCAAGTCAAAGGCCAGTCCGCTGGGGCACGTGATTTGCTTCAGGCCGGACCTTGTACACCTAGTGTGGCCGGAACAGAAAACAAAAAAAGGCGCCTATGTGAGTCTAAAGAGAGAAAAAGTCGTAGTGTCGCTTACTCTCCAGCTGATCGCAGTTCTTGACGTTCGTCTTCCAATCGCAGGTTTGCCGCTCGATGTCAAACGCGAGACCGGTCGGGCAGCGCACCGTCGCCAGCCTGGTCACGCCGATCTCGGTGGCTTTGTCGCACCTAGGATTCATTCTCACATCGAAAAGTCCATCTCGAATCTCGAGATTGCGAAACCGGCCCCGCGAAATAGCAGCGAGAAAGTTACCGGGCCGTCGTTAATCGCAGAGAAAGAAGAAAAAAGAAAGGAAGAAATATCTCCTCCGGATAACGAGGGAAGCTTTAAAGGATTGGCGCCGAGTTGTTCTACCGGATCGCCTTGAGCGAGAGACGCCTGGAAAGTCGGAATTCGATCGAGGTGTTTCGCGATCAATCGCATCCTAGATCGATAATAAACGATCGGCGGGCGTTATTTTTATTGTCGACCACATTCCGGCTGGTCGTACGATACATTATCCTGTCAAAAGCTGATGTCCTTGGGGGACTTTACGTTCTCCGCGTGCCCGGACAAAGGGTAGGAATAAAAATGCGCCAAGCGTCCGGCTCCTGGCGTTTCTCAAGCAGCACTTGACAATTTTCGCAAAACCTCCGTTACGGCTAATGTTTGGCGGCCGCAGGTGAACGGGACTGAGCGAGCTTCAGACCGGCGCGACCCGGAGAAAGTCCAGTCATCGTATATAGATCTAACTACTTCCTGGCAACCGGTAGAGTCGGCAGAATAAGTCCAGGTAGGCGGAAGTGAGTCGGCCGCCAAGTTTTTCGTTTGAAACCCTATTCACCTTGCGATCCCATTCACCCGCGGTCGCTGCACATTACGGTTATATAAGATAATGGAGTCGCGATGAGGTCAGCCACACGTAACTATTGGCATCCCTTAATTATTAACGCTCTGATGGAAAATCTGGTTTCCCTTGCAACCAGCGACATCTGTTCACAGTTTTACTCATGAAGAAATAAACTTAACTGCAACGTTGGTCACATGAAAAGCCAAGTTTCCAAGTTAGTGCCACTAACAAAGGGAAGTGTGTTGTGTGATCTATCCTAATAAAGTAAACGCGAATGACGAGCATTCTGCGAGGTCATGGGCCCAGATGGACAGGTATACGTACATTTGGTCGCATCCTTTTTATGAGTAGTTTATATGGCACTCATTTATCACGTAGAATGTTGGAATAGAAAAATTCGAAAGAAATACGAGAAAATCGTCAGAATTAATTCAAAACAACATATCATGTAAAACGTGATGTGAAAATCTCGGTGTGTAACTCTCGGTAAATTTGTTGATGCATTGATGTAACTGAAATCTTATATCATTGTATGATTTAAATTTTCCGATTAATTCAATACAATATATTTGCTTCGTAATTAAATAAAGAAATTATGCAGTTGTCATTATCGATTGTTTACACTGTGATAACTATGAATGTTTGTCGGGGAAAATAAATACCCAGAGATAAACAACTGTACGTAAATTTGATAGCCACTTTAGCAGTGAATTTTTGCAAATACTGCATCTCATGGAGATTGATTACTATATGTGAGTGCCTCATGTAGTAATCATATTTATGATATAGGATAGCGAAATAGAAGCATGAAAAAGTAATCCAGATCTGCTTAAGATGATGTATCGTGACTTTTGGTAAATTTGTTGCTGCATCAATACAACGAAAAATTTACAGTGTTTTATGACATAAATTTAACGATCGATTCAATCAGCAATCTTTGCCTTGCCAAACGTAAGAAAATTGTAGATTTTCATCGATCATCATCGATCGTCCTTTACATTGTAGGAATCGTGAAAGTCTATCTGGAGAATCCGCTCATCGCCTTAATTCTAATTTGACCTCTTTGCGCGGAATAGAACAGTAGAAACCAGAAGGAAAATGGTCGATGCCAGTTTCTCTCTCGTTTTCTTTCGCTGCGTTGTAAAGTATTTCCGCTCGTTTCTGCATTCGCGGATAAAATAATAAGACCGCTCACCTCACGACATCGCGACAGTCTCCTTCAACGCTCAAGCGAAAGTACTCGTCGCCTGGCCGGTCCTGACAAAGCTCCTCAGCGTTCGCGTCGGTCCCGTCGCCGCCTTCTTCATCTTGCGCTTTGACCTGCGTGCCTGTCGACAGGAATACAGCTTGTTAATTAATCAAGTTTGCATTGAGCTTGACAGTAATCTTGTTTTGATAATGATTAAACATTGTCAACATTACTCGAGATACATAATGAGGCTTGGTGACAGAGATGTGTACTTGGACGAATTTTACTTGGCAAACACGTAAACTTATTACTGTTTAATTCCATTCGACTGTTATTTAGAGGTTTGTGTGTCTCATTGCAATATAGTTGGTACTTTGACTTACAATTGAAATTCAGAATCGGCACGACCAAAGACAAGTTCCAATCGCTTGTTTCAGTATGACATTTTGCACGGGGACGAGGTAGAGGTGAATTCGATTAATCGTTGAAAATGTCACGATCGGTTCACGACACGAGCGTGCGCGTGTGCAAGCGCGTACTTCGCGATCGCAGATCGAAGGAGGGGTCGGTGAACCGTGGTAGAAGTAGAAAGTCTTGAAAATGTCAGGGCAACGGGGGGGAAAGCGACAGTGGTTCTCCAAAGTAGGTCCTCCACCTCTCCCACCCTTTTTTTCTTTCAGAAATGTACGGATCCACGTCGAGATTTCGAAGATTCTCTCTCTTTTTCTCTTCATTTACAATTCCAATTTTCCCAAGATTACCGAAAAACCACGTTTTTTCTTTCGTTGCGCAATACTCAACGAGCTCTCTCTCTCTCTCTCTCTTCCTCTATCTTTCTATCTATGATGTAAAATTAGTTTTTTTCCGCGGCGTTACGTCTTCCGCGACTTTCCTCGTCACTTTGACGCGGCCCGCGTGAATTGAAATTGAACAATTTGATAACTCCGACGCGTACGACCGTAAACGCGCTGCGTTCCAAACGACGAATTTCGCGACACACGATGACTCTTAGCAAACGGAGTAAATCGTACTCACCGGCGAACAGGCACAGGGATCCTAACAGGAATATCAACCTCGGCGACATCGTCGTCGTCGTCGTCGTCGTCGTCGTCGTCAGGACAGAGAGCGTCTGGACAAGCCGCGCCCTCTCCACCCCTCTATATGTGCACCACCACTCCTTCCCTCTTCATCGTGGGACTTTCACCTTCCGGACCGTGCTGCCATCTTTCAGGTGGGTTTCAGGAAAGCGGCTGGAGCAAAGTGCATCCTGTCCACCGGAGAAGACGAAGAGCCGGCTGAAGTTGAGCCCCACCATCGTTGGCGATTTCGCTTGGGACGAGCTTTCAGGTTGCCGCACGTGCCACTGTCGTGCGATGATCGTCGCAATCTGCAGATTATTGCGACAACAATTTCACTTACACTTCCAGGCACATTCGACCCGGAGCGGAGGAGGCAGGTACGAAGGCTGGACGTCGCCTTCGTAGCTGTCGAGGACGAGTCGTCCGACGTCCGGCTGGACGGATTCAGGGCGGGTGTGGGAAGGAATGCAGAATTGATCTCTCGTACGCGGATTCTATTTTCTACCTGACTCTCCCGTCGGACCCTTACTTGTCTTTCATTTTTGCGTCGCCCACTTGCCCGACGTGAAGACCATTTTTAACTCGGCGCATTGTCGACGACGGTGACTTCTTCCTCACCACGAGGCGGCGTGTGGAATGCGCGTGGCCCAAGAATGGAATCTATAATGTGTCCCGGAATCCTCCGAGGATTCCTCCGTCGTTCTCTGACGTCTCGGTGTCTCGGTGTTTAAAAGCGGCCTCGCGATTGTCGGGCCAGGATGATTTTTCCTCGTGACGGCGGCGCGTCACGACCGGCCGCCGAATATTCAAGGTCCTCGCCGTGACTTTGCGAACCGGAGCTGCGCGCCCAGGTGAAAACGGAATTTTTACGGAGCTTCTTTACGATCCTCGTGAAAACGTTACGAAGCTCACGATGCTCCGGGAACGGCCACACGAATGCGAAGCCTTGCACTCGTAAACTCTGAGAAAGTGTCGCTCGCGCCGCGTCACTTTCATCGGAAACTGCGCCGGACGATGCGCTCAAGTGCCATTCGGAGGCGAACGGTATTCAAAATAAGATTCGATTTGCGGCGCCGAGGACACACGTTAGGGAGACTTCACACCTTGACGGAAAAACAGAAAGCGAATCAGAATTGCGCGCGCTGGTTAGACAAGCAACGGTAGTCGACAGTTTCTACTTTTTTACTAGCGCGCGAGTTTCGATTCGCTTCTGCCTTTCCATTTTCTGCTTTTCTGTCGAGGTGTGAGTTCTCTCTTATAGTCGGTGAGGACTTGCGTTCACGCGCGTACGGAAGAAAGTTATTTTAACGAGAGGATGAGAAAGAGAAAAGAGAGAGAGAGAGAGAGAGAGAGAGAGAGAGAGAGAGAGAGAGAGAGAGAGAG